ACCGAGACTGCGTGCTGGCGCGGGGGGCCCCGAAGTTCCCGGGCCGGGGGAGGGCGCTGGGAGCCCCGAAGTTCTGGATACGGAGGCTGAGGGCGGTCCGGGAAGCTCCGAAGCACCGGGTCTTGCGGGGGCTCAGGGCCCCAAGTTCCGTAGCTCGGGTCGGGAAGGGGACAGGGAGAGCTTCCCAAAGTTCCTCGCCCCGCCTCGCAGGAGGCTGCGAAGGTGTCTCCGAAGTTCCAGACCTGGGGAGGGCGCGAAGGGACCCCGAAATTCTGGACCTGGGCATGGAAGGGGGCAGAGGGTCCCCAAAGTTCAAGAATCGGGGCGGCGCGGAGGATCCCCGAAGTTATGGGCCTGGGGTTGGAGGAGGCAGATAATATGGTCCCGAAGTTCTGGACCCGGATCCGGGTCGTCACGGGGATCTTGAAGTCCGGAGGTTGGGGATCGCATATCCCGAAGTTTCGGCGCGCACTGGGCGCCCCACTCCCGACGCGTGTGGGGACTCGATCCTGACTGTCAGGATCCCGGACCGGGGCACCTGGGTGGGCTTCGCCCGCACAAGCGATTAAGGATCCCGGGCACCGGGCGGGGTCGGGCCCCCTCCGGGCGCCTCGCGGCCCGCGGCATGACTAGTTGGTGAGTAACTTTTCCCAAACGCGCAAGTCACAGCAGGAGCGCCCCGTCCGGAAGGGCCGAAGTTCCTGGGACCCCGGAGCCCCAGCCTGACCCAGGACTGCCCCCAACCTCGGCCAGAGCTGTCGCCCCTCCCCCACCAGGGGCTCGGGTTTCAGACCCCGTGACCAGGACAGCAGCTGCCCAGGACTTGGGTGGGGGTGCAGTCCCCCTCGACCACGGAGACCACTAAGCCCGGGCGTCCCTTCCCCCAACTTGCCTCCCCTCCCCCAGGTCCCTCCTGAGTCCCCTGCAGATACTCTGGATGCAAGTTTGAGGGGCAGGGGGAGGGTCAAAAAAATCCCCCCCATGCCCCTGCCCCCCGCATCTATTCCTGGCTTCTGTGGGGTGGTGGCTAGAGAGAGGCGTGTGGGGAGCCCATATTCAACCTTGGTTCCACTCCGCCCCCTTGGTATTGGGAGTGAGTGGTGATGGGAGATCTGGTAGTGGGTACCAGGGTGGTCCTGTTTGGCTGCATCTTGTCTTTTTGACAAAGATGGGGGCTCCCTGATTGGACTTTGACACTGAGTCTGTGCTCTGGGAGGCCAGTGGGGATGGGTCTCCCAGTAGGCACCTGGTGATGCCAGTTTTTGCTGGAGGCTCTGGCTTGAGGAGCAATAGGTGAATGTGTGGAAAGTACTGAAGGGGAGCTGGCTTTGGCCTCCTCAACCCACCCTGAGACTGAGGGGGCTTCACCAAGGTTTTATGCTGAGAAGCCAGGGGCCACCTCTCGGACTCCTCTCGGACAGCCATCTCTTGCCCAGGGTGTTGTAGGAGCTTCTCCAGGTGGAGAGAGGCAGGGTCTCCTTGATCTGAGTGATCTACTGATTCTCTCACCTTTTGGGTTGAAATTCCATGAATGGTGCACCTGGTGGTGAGTCCTGAGGTTGGACCTGCTTGGCCTCCCTCAGCCTGTCCTGGGGGGCACTCACAAGTCCTTTCTACCCCAGAGGCCGAACCAGCAGCTCCTGCCACCTCTCTGGCTGCCCCTTGGAGCCCACCTAGCCCAGCCTGACCAATGTCCACAGCCAGGTGAGCCCCTGCCCCCACCGGCTTGGCCCTGAGCCCTCTGGGGGTGCCTAGTCCCCACTGAGCACCCTCTCCCCATGCAGGGAGCAGCCCATCTTCAGCACCAGGGCACATGTGTTCCAGATCGACCCAGCTACCAAGCGGAACTGGATCCCTGCGGGCAAGCACGCACTCACTGTCTCCTACTTCTATGATGCCACCCGAAACGTCTACCGAATCATCAGCATTGGGGGTGCCAAGGTCCTGGCAGGGCCTGGTTGGGGTGGTGGGCCTGGATCTGGTTGTGGCCTTGCTGTGTGCCCAGGGACAGGTCTAGAGGAGCCCTGACCCTTTCTGGGCCCCAGTCTCTTCCTCGTGACATGGCTCCGACAAGGACCTTGGAGGCACTCATATAAAGTGATACCCTAGTTGCTCTCATGTTCATTATTTAACAGTTCCATTGACCTTGAACTTTCCTCTCCTTTCCCCAGGCCATTATCAATAGTACTGTCACCCCCAACATGACCTTTACCAAAACCTCCCAGAAGTTCGGACAATGGGCAGACAGTCGTGCCAACACTGTCTACGGCCTTGGCTTTGCTTCTGAACAGCATCTAACCCAGGTGGGCCTCAAGGGTACATGGTGGGAGGGACAGGGCTGGGTCTGTGTCATCTCTTGGGTGCATTGGGGTCCCTGGCTAGGTGCTGGGCCTCCACCTTTCCAGCTGCAGAAGTGGATAAGCCAGAAGCCCTTCCCTGTTCCCTGACTCACATCCCAGCTCTGCAGGACACCTCCAATTTCAACACACCTTGCCCCTCTCTGGGTTCCAGGAATGGGCCGGGTGCTTCCCCACACACACTAGCACTGTATCATCCCTGCCCTCCACCCTCTGCTGTCTTTAGACGTCAGTATTGCTTTATCCATGGTTTCCCTGGATGGTTGGTTTGTGCTCTCTGAGTCCCGCTGAAGGCATGACGATTTTCTTCTATTAGCTTTCGTTTTCCTTTCATATTTAGGTCTTGAATTTACTTCTGTGGGTAGTGTATGGTAGGAATATTTATTCCCACAGTAGTATCCAGTTGATCTTGGGTCATTTTAAAAAATATATATTTTATTTATTTTTACAGAGAGGAAGAGAGAGGGAGAAACAGAAACACCGCTGCCTCTTGCACACCCCCTACTGGGGATTGAGTCCACAACCCGGGCATGTGCCCTGACCTGGAATCCATAGGTCGATGCTCAACCACTGACCCACACTGGCCCAGCGATCTTGGGCCATTTTTGAAAAGACCATTTGCCCCCAGTGAATTGCGCCAGCCCCTTTGCACAAATCAAGTGGCTGTATAACTGTAAATATTTCTTTTCTTTTATTTTTTAAAATATATTTTTATTGATTTCAGAGAGGAAGGGAGAGGGACAAAGATAGAAACATCAATGATGACAGAGAATTGTTGATGGGCTGCCTTCTGCATGCCCCACACTGAGGATTGAGCCAGCAACCTGGGCATGTGCCCGGACCAGAATCGAACCTGGGACCCTTCAATCCCCAGGCTGACGCTCTATCTACTGAGCCAAACCAGCCAGTGCTAAATATTTCCTTTAAAAAGTATTTTCAGTAATACTCTTTGTAATACTTTAAGAAATAAAAAAAAAATTAAAAAATAAAAACAAACAAACAAACAAAAAAAGTATTTTCAAACTGCCCTAGCCGGTTTGGCTTAGTGGATAAAGCATCGGCCTTCAATTCCGGTCAAGAGCACATGCCTGGGTTGCAGGCTCTGAAATCAATAAAAACATATCTTAAAAACAAACAAAAATTAATATAACAAAAATGAGAACAGGACAATCACTTTCTCACTGGCTAGGGCTGAGGTCCCAAGACCTGCTTTCTCTTTGTCATACAAGGATATTTGCATGTGTTCCACGCATTAAAGACAGATTAGCACCCACCTGAGGCTCTCCTTGCTGAAATAAGCTCGATGGAGAGGGAAAGGCGATTCCTTTCTCAGGGTGGCTCAATGTAAGCCTCCCCCATGAACATCCCACCCGCTGCTCTCAAGCTCACTCTGCCCTTTGGGACATCATTTTCCAAGCCTTCTTCCACTTTCCCGGTTCATGAGATGAGGGGCTGCAGCGTTCCCTTTGTAAGTGACAGGGATGGTTCTGGCTGGATGGTAACGGGCTGGGGCCCCAGGGGAGGGGGCCAGGAGTTTGTTGACTGACTGTTTCTGTCCCCCCTCCTCAGTTTGCTGAGAAGTTCCAGGAAGTGAAGGAAGCAGCGAGGCTGGCGAGGGAGAAATCTCAGGATGGGGGGGAGCTCACCAGTCCAGCCCTGGGGCTCTCCACTCATCAGGTCAGTACTCCCTGTCCCATGCCTGCCCAGCGATATGGTGGTGGTGGGGGGGGGTTGGGCTGTTCCTGCGTTGTGATGTGCTGGTGCCCAGAACCAGATGCTCACAAATTGTGGCAGGGGCCACGGAGGAGGAGTGTGGGTGCCATGGAGCATGTCAGGGGGAATGTGGCCTAGCTTTGGGTCAGGGAAGACCGGAAAGCCAGCTCAAATGGCCGAGTCAAAACCTGAAGTTGAGATGGCTGAGGGGGTGGAGTAAAGAACTGTTCCCGGGCAGTTTCCCCCATGAATTTACTGTGTAATTTATTAACCACCTACTGTGTGCCAGGCCCAAGGCTGGACTGGGGTTACAGAGATGAAAAGGCAGGCTGGCCCCTGCCCTCAGGGCTCCTGAGGTGAAGTCATAAGAAATTCAGCTTGGGGAGAGGGCTTCCTGAAATGGATGTTGAAATTTGGCCCCAGAGGGGTCCTGTTCCTAAGGTTTCAGGTTGCTCCCCATGCCCTCCAGGGCAGATTTCGAGCATCTCTGGGGTTAGACTGACCTGCGTCAGGTTTGCTGCTGGGGAATTGGTGAGAGCTCAGGCAGGCCAGGTTGGGGGCCAGAGTCCAGAACTCTGGTCTAGGGGGCCACGGGGAACCATGGAGGATGGGTGAGAGGGGAAGGGCGCCTGCTCTCAGCCATGACCTCAGTAACATCAGCCCTGAGCCTAACCATGATCTTCTAACCGGTCCTTGACTGACACCCCTCCTCCCGTAACCCCGCTTCTGTCCACACCCTTAGGTGCCCCCGAGCCCCCTCATCAGCACCAATGGCCCCCCCAGCGACGAGAAGCTGTTCCGCAGCCAGAGCGCGGAAGCCCCTGGCCCCGCCGAGCGAGAGCGGCTCAAGAAGATGCTGTCCGAGGGGTGAGGGGGGTCGGGCGGGGTACC